GGACGGATTATCGAAGCTTCCTACGGACTAATTGATTGTTTGCAAAATTTTATGCAGGTCTCGCGCAGGAGAGGGTGGATTTACTATCTGCCGACACGCCAACTTCGTCGAGTGCGTCGTGTGGATTCCACCGTGAGGGTGTACGCGACTCAGTGTATTTTCGACGCGATGCGCGTGTAGTCGCATTTGTGCCGGTAGGGAAGAGGAGGGGGGAAGAGGGAGAAGAGAGAGAGAGAGAGAGAGAGAGAGAGAGAGAGAGAGAAAAAATAAATTTTGCGGCACAGAGCACTCCAAGCGCGCGAAAGTTTCTTTCCCGTCTGGAGGTCTCTATGGAATGTTACGTCGCGTGACGTAGTTACCGTAGCGGTATTTTATTCCGAAATTTTTCTGAGGTGGCTTTTTAAGCTTGCGGCCTGTGCTCCACAAAACTCGAATACTCCGACGTTTAGTTTTTACCACGCGATACGTTGCCAGCGCTCTTCTTATTTTATTCATTTCCCGCATTCGCTTTTCAGACCGACGTCCACGATGCGGTCTGAACTATGGAAAACATGTTTCGCGCATTAATTACGGAAGATAATCACGATATAATTATTCGACGCGAATAGATCTCGGTCCTCAATTGTTGCTATTAGCATAACATAATGGACATATAACATATGAAAGTGCTAGTTTTATTATATATAGTAACGCGCGATGTTTTCATATAATGCAATCCTGTACTATTCGCATTTACGCTCCTCTATGCATATTTCAAATAATAAATGACTATTATAACTTACTATATATATATCTGAACGATAGCAAAACATATTGATGAATAAACAATTGTCTGAAGCAAGTCTCGCACAGAGGATGCGTTAAAACGGATTCGCGCGCAATGAAATTTTACAGGACGCGCCTTGCAACGATTGTTTATAACATTTTTTCTCTCGCTGTACGTTGTTACGTTGCGCCCTTCAACGCACGCAAGTTTGATTCCGTTGCATCGACGCGTAGTTCGACGTACAAAGCGGGGGTGATGTAACGTGAGCGTAGGGGAATACGAGAGGGAGTATACAGCAGAACGAGGAGAGGAACCCTGGTAGCATGCAGTCTATCAGAGATTAGCGGCTCGATCCATTAGGGAGTGATTTAGCTCGACGGTCCCCGAGCACTCTCCGCCACCGTTCAGACAGCACCATACTAGCCACGCCATACTTCCACGCATCGCCACACCATCACCGTCAACACTAGCACGAATCCCGTGTATGGATGTGTGCATATCTGATCCTAAGCCGTATAGTTGACGGCTATTGTATAACAGGGCTCTCTCTCCTTATATTATAAAATCCAGCCGCGCCAAAGCGCGCACTATGAATTTTCTTACTGATATCACGTTGCGAGACTCAAAGAAGTACGTCTCTTTGCTGAAAATAAAATTTAATATTCTGAGTATAGGGATTTGTAATAAAAAAGCTCAGAGATACCTAAAATAGATGAATACGCATGCACGAGTGTTTTTAGTAATCTTTTAAAATTTTTAAAATATTTTTTGAAGATCCTTTAAATATTTTGGAAGATAACCATGTGATGGTGTCATTTCTTTTGACATACTCTATGTAATTAAGACAACCAATTATGAGGTGGAGTATCTCAAGCCGACATTTCGTTGGAAATGCTGCGAAGCGGTTTAATGGAAACTGGTCTCGTGCGTCTCCCCGGAAGCGCTACGAATCTCCCTCTTCATGCGTTCTTTATTTATGGTCGAAAAGACGCTAACGAGTTCTGGCTTGCGAGAGCAAAGAGTGAAATTTAGTACACGGCGGACCGAATGATCGAGGGCGCGTATAGAGCGGAGGAGCCTGGCGGTTGGGTCCCAGGGGCGCGATGTGTCGTGCCTAATTACAATGGCCAACGTTTCTCTCTGTCCAAATACAAACAGCGAGGCTAATGCGCGCCATCACCGAAACGCGGGACCGCCGCCGGATCGCACCTTACACCGCTCTGTCAATATCTGTCGATATTGCTGGCCGTTAGGAGCTCGGCTGTATCTACTGCCGGCGGGGGCGGCCGATTGCCTACAACGGCGAAACGAATGATAGCATATAGCGCACACTCCCATTCCGGTAGGCTGATTTACGCCGGTCCCTGTTTAGAGAGTTTTCTCGAGTTCTTTGGCGCTTGGAGGCGCGGAACGTACAGACTTTATCCTCAACATAAATTAACCGCACCGCCGTAGTTTGCCGTTTGTCTTGCGCACTACTTAACTAACGAATGATGATGGTTATTCTTTCGTTCGCGTCCCGGTAATATCGTGATAATGTATCGCCCGTGGAAAAGAGACGATCGAGCGAGTACAACAGCAAGGTTGTTTAATCAAAAGTCCAGCAAAGTGTATACGCGCAATATTCCAATAAGTACATTGTGCTCATCTTGATATTTAAATGCTGGTTACGAATCATGTGCGAGCACATGGAAGTATAATAATCGTGACGTTTTACGTTATTATCTTCATAAACATATGCTGTGCTGCGAACGGCAACGTACAGTCCGCGGCTGAAAGCATTTCGTGATGCGTTCGTAATGCCCTACAATGCGAACCGAGTAATCCGCAAGTTATAATAAAAAATACGTTACGCTGTAGTCGAAAACGGCGTTTCAACGGACAATGAAGTTAAGGTAGGCGGGAATAACGGGGATATAGCGAGGGAATATCTTTTTGAAATGCGAGCCAATTTTCATTGTCCAGATTAATGGACGCCGCAAATGAATGGCGCCAAATATCGCATATTTTCCGAATAATGTGCAGCGCTCGTAAATAATAACAGATCCTAGCTATTTTTTATGTAAAAATAGCCGTTGGATCAAAGAGTGTTACAGAACGTTTTGGAGAGATTACCGAAACACACACATACACACACAGCACTCTCCAGCAAAGTCCAACCCGAACGTTACATTGCACGGAAGAGATGCAAATTCGTAGCGATATTCAGAAACGTGGGAAAGAACCCGGAACGCTTCATCTCGACTAAATCATACGCCGTTGTAACAAGGATATTGCCGCGTTTGTTGAAACAAGTTTATTCTTTTCTCATTTCTCTCGCAAGTTTCGTTGTCTTCGACGGACTAGTATAAACGAAGACAACGTTATTGCATTAAAGTAATTGAAAGCCTAATTGCAGCCTCATTAAACGAGTTTGCGATAATTTTCGAGCTCCTAACTCGTGAAATTGAACGTTCGACGCTCGGGTCCGGCTCGAGACGTTATCCATCGCGTCCCCTCGCGGCACGAAACAGTCCCAAGACATCGCGCCAAGTTACAGGAAATTCAACGTGTAAGTAAACACGATTTCAACGTGGCGATTTCGATGACGGAATTTTATTGCCCGTGCCGCGGCCACCGCGGAGTCGCCCAGGTAAACGCAGGACAGCCAATTACCACCGAGAGCAATTACCGGGAGCAATTAACGCAAAAGTTACAATAAGTAATTAGTACCTCCGCAAGTACCTGCTTGTAATTAACTTACGTGCAGCTGCGTTTTCCCATTATCACCTATTTTTCGACGTTAAGCCGCCGCCAGTTTCTGGAGGAAGGGGAGAGAGGAGGAACGACGCTGACTATGTCGGACAGAGGAGGATAAAAAAGATCCGCGAAAGTCGAAACTTCAGACACTCGATCGCATCGTTATGGATTACGTTATGAAGAAATAACACACATACTTCTGTCCTCTCTCTCTCTCTCTCTCTCTCTCTCTCTCTCTCTCTCTCTCTCTCTTTCTCGAAAGGCATCGACGCGAAGACAAACTGTCTATATCAAGATTGTTGAATCACGTCATGTATCTCGCTGTGTACAACGTTCGTGTATATCTATCTTGTGTGTATCTAGCAAATAAATGCAAGCGCACTACTGCAAGATAAGCTTTATGACGTTCATTTAACGCGTATCTTATCTACTGTACGCCTATTCAGACTAGACAACAGGTTGCGTATGCCGTTAAGTCGCTGAAGAAATCCCTGTTGCCGCTTTGGAGGCCTTCCAACACGCTAATCTGGTCATTATCAATGTCGACACAGACACGCGTAATTTCCCGACTCTCGCTGGTTAATCGAATTATCAACAGTTTCTGACACGGACTTTTAATGAAGCGTAATGCCGCACGTAATCGCTGTAATACGCGAAAACGTTCGGTCGAATGGACCTCTCGTTTTTTTGTGCGTGATTCCTTCGATACTCGCTATCGTAGCTCTCTCGCCTTTTACTGTGCAATCGCATAAAGTTGTCGCATTAATGTCACGAGTGAGATGGTAGAAATCCGAGCGAGCGAAATAAAGGACGCGGAACCTTGAATTTATTCGTTCGTGAGGCTCGATGAGTGGCTTTAAATCACTGTAGGACTTTACTCCTGTCCATCATTTCGAGAAATCTAGCAATGTTTCCTGCATATCCTCAAAATATTGCGTGCTCTTTGACTTTTGTTTTCTGTACGTCACGATATATGCTTTTAATAAAAGTGCCTTATCCTATATTTCTTCGCGATGATAGCCGACACTGATAGCGCACCCCCTTTCCTCTGTGTGTACACACGTTGTCCTTTAGCGACGCGGGTGCTTGAGATGAATCTACATTATTGTGGAATATACAAGATGTTTGATGATAACATGTACTCGTTTAGTGTACGCATAGATTAGGTTAACTGAGCAAAAAATTTATCTACCATTTTGTGAATAACTACGTAAAATTCTTAGTTATTAATTAAAAAAAGATTGGCGAATGTGATATATATATATATATATATATATATATATATATATATACACAGTTAAATATGCTATATATATACATAATGTAAATTCTTCCTACAGATGTTCAGAGATATCTTTAAGAGTACTTTATGCGCGGAGAAGTTTACAGCGTGCACAAAAAAGTTAAGCTTTGAGATAGGTGCGACGACGATTATATTGATCGCGCAATAAACGCAATATCTGAATACATAGTATCTCTCAATGGATTGTTCCAGCCTAGAAACGATCCCTATGCGTTCGTGGAGTTCGCGGACCACGCGGCAGCTTCCGCGGCGCTAACGGCTCTCAATCAGCGTCTCTTCCTAGAGAAGGTAAGCAAAACTACCCGCTGATTTCACCAATTTCTTCGCTTCTTTGCGAAGCATCTTCGCTTTTGTTGACGCTTCTGATGCATTACTCGCCGTTTATTTTCGAAACAACGATCTCGTCTGGATCATAGTTGAACAATTACGTCAGGGGTACGGTGAAAAATAAGTTACGCGGAAAAATTGTACCGCGTTACATCGATGTAGAATAGAATAATACACGTTTGACCATAAGGCGCGTTTCGTCGTTTTCGTCTTTCCTCTCACGTTCTCTCTCCCGTCTTCCCGCGTCATATTCGAATTCCACGTGCAGTTAAAGTTCGCCAGTTGACGGTTACCAGCAGTGCTCGCAGGGAACGTCGGCGGCGGTTGAATCAACGATGGTAGCGCGCAGGGACAAGTCTGCGGTCGGGGGGGAAGCGGGCCCGCGCTCGGGGGGTCCGCCAGAGGTTGAGAGAAGGTATTGGGATCCGGCTGGAATAGCTAATGCTCGAATATGTCATAGTTTGGTGGGATGTGGTCAGAATTATACATGCTACACGATATATACGCGCGAGTTACTTCATTCTCCTCCATTGCTCTTCTATTACCATGCACCTCCCGCCGCTTCTTCACCTGCTCTTACTCGGTTTCTCCCCCGCTTCCCGGTGCCTATTCGCTCGTTCTCTCGCTCATCTCCACGGTCCTTCCTGACCTCGCTTCCTTCTCTCGCTCTACGACCGCCGCGGCCTCCATTTCATATACACTACCACTACCATCAACACCCTCCAATTCGCCATCCCACTGCGACGTATATCGCAGCCCGTAACGCGGAGAGTTACTCGGTTAGTTTAGATTCGCTCAAGCAAGTTTTGATGTCGTGCGCGCCTACCCCGCGATCCTCTCCGACCGCCTATCCCCTGGCCACCGAACACTCTTCGGGAATCCTAGTGCTACCTTCCACGCCACAGTCACCCTCTAGCGACTCCTTGCAGGTAAGCTCGTTCTCTCTCTCTCTCTCTATTTCTCTTCCTCTCTCACCTACTCTCTCTTCTTCTCTCTGCCTCTGTCTTTCTCTGATTATGCACACTCTCTCTGTTCCTCTCCTTTCTATTCGCTCTCTATCCCTATTCTCCTTCAGCTCCCGTCTTTCCGCGTGCCCCTCCGAAGAACCGTCGAGTTCGCTATTACCGCCGACACATTACTAATGCCGAACTGGTCGTAATAGATTGGATGCCTGGAACTTGGATATGCCAACTAATGTGGCAGACTAACCCCTTTCACTCGTCATTCCCCCCTCGCTTCGTGCACCGCCCGCCGCACGTTTCTGCGTGTGTCGTACTTCGGCGGGCGTAAGTAGAGCGCGATCGTGCTAGCCGAACTTTCCTGAAAAATGGTTGCTCCTTATAGTTTCTCATTTCGGTTCGAATGTACAGATTTATGGCGAGGGAGAGAGATACGCTTGCTGAAACTATTTTTTTCTTTTCTCTCTTCTTTCACGAATATTACCGGTACCAGAACAAGATACACGATCTAATCGATCATTAGATCGCCCGTATACAATCGTAGCGGTCGCAGAAAGTGGCCGTAATTAAGAAGCGCAATGAAACATAGAGTTCGCCGTTGTTCGCGGCAGTGATAATCGCAGCAGCGATCTCCTTTCGTGCCAAGCAGACTTCTTATTTCCCATTAAGACCTCGCGAGATTTCTAGCGTCGCGGAGAATAAAATTCTTACAAACGCCACCAGCAACCTGGCAAGCTGAAAGGAATTCGGAAGTAAGTCGGGGCAGAAGTTCGGCCAAAAGAAGAATTTCTTATGCGCAGCGGAGTACCTATTCCGCATTGCGGTCCTAAGCATGCAGCCGAGCGGCGCGATCGCTAAGGAAAGCGCGCCGGCATTTCGCTATGTAACGAGGGGAATTAACCCCCAAGTTTAAGCGCGATACAGCCGCCGACTTTACTTTACTTACCTACCCGTGTCCCACACCACTGAATTTACCCCCTTCGCAGCCGCTCCGCCGCCACTGTTTCTACCCCCGTCCTCTGGTAAGCCCCATACAGTATAGTCTCCGCATTAGCTCGAATTATACTTGCTCGTGACTTCGCCGTGGAACGCTATACCGGGCGCGATCGTGCGTGGCGAGTAATTCCCGGCCGAGGTTATTAATACAGCGCGGCCCGTTTCTCAATCTGCAGCGTCTAATTTTCGGCCGATTCGCGGAGGCTCCGCGTTTTCGGCGGCGGTGTGACCGTGGCAGGCACGTGGACCAATGCGCGGACCTTTGTGTAAACGACATTACGGTTGCGCTGGTCTGCAACGCGAATAGCCCGCTGTTTACCTCATTGTATTCGATTACGATGCCGGAGGTAATTAGCTCCGGCGGTAATGGTAATCGATACCGATAGTATCAATTACCTGCGCGTGGGCGAAACATTTGTCTTTCTTGCTGGTAATGTATCGAAACGTCGATTGCCCCGGAACTTTACACCGTAATGCACCGCCTGTAAATAGCTTCCAAATACTAAGGAAGATGTAAATCCTTCTTCGCCTGTTTGCGGACTTATTGCATGCCACGTTGATGTTTCTACCAACTTTCGCTATCGTAACCCCGAATGGTGGACGTATATACGTCTTGTTTACTACTTCCTCTGCTTCTTTCGTTTGATTATCGATTTACTCGTGCAATCGCGTGACTCTTCTCTCTTTCCCTCTTCCTCTCTTTTTCGACTCAAACACGTCGTCCTGGTAATTATTAAGGATGCAAAATACGTGATCGACGTCGATGACAAATAATAAAACAACGCACCTTCTCTCAACGTGCTTAATCGTTTCTTGGATTCGCGAGAAATTTTGGCAGTTCGAGGTCGATCGTACAGCGGCGTAGCAGACACTGTAATCAAATAACGAATGGGATGATCTTCCAATTCCAATTTCTAAGAGATGTGTACACACATATACAGCGCAGGAAACGCAGGTAATAAGAACGGAACAATATCTGTATGCAGTTTCGTGTAACTTTACTTTAGCTTCACTCTCCGCCTTGTTTATGAATACCATCGTCGTCTTGTTTGCGAGCGGTACAGCGCGTCTTCCGACCGAGGACTATGAAACGCGACTCGGTTGACAATTGTACCAATCTCTTAACACGAGCAATCGGGGATATAGCGCGGGATGTTGATACCCACTCAAGGCTGGGAACATGCTTGTGAAGTGCGTGGAGTATCCCAGCAATAGAAATCGATCGTTACAGCTTCAATGAATGCTATTACTTAGACATTGCTTTACTTTCTCCGCTGACTCTTTGCTACGTTTTTTACAAACGGTATGTACAGAAAAATCGCAGTACCCAAATTCTCTCTATTATGAAGAACGATAGGATTTTCAACAAATAGGTCTTGAACGCCGAGTCAAATCAGTGAGAGTCGTAAGGAGCTACGCAAATTAAAGTTAGTTCAAAGTTTCCTTTCATTATTGTGTAACAATCTCCAATTATTTGATTAAGGGCGCTTAATTCCGTTCTGCTGCTAATACTTCAATTTGACTTGGAGTCAGAGCGACATTATGCCTTCGATGAAAGAAACGATCTATGGTGCAGCCTCCACTCTTTCGGAACAATGCGCTCAAAGAGAAACGCGGGGATAGAAGCGTGTTTACCGGCGTCACGCTCTTTGTACTCGATGGCTGGTGATGTAACGGTTGACAATCTGCACTAACGTTTTGACAGAGAATGTGTCGAAGTTATGAATGGTAGAAGCCAACCTCCGCGGGTGGGTGGACATTGTACAACGCGTCGTGCTTACGATATTTTGTCTCCTCGGTTGCCCTCGAAAATCTTTCAGCCATTCTCCGATTCAACTCGCAAAGCCAATAAAAATCCGACGAAATAATGTCCCGTCTACTGTGAAGGAAGGAATCTAGCTCTTCGATTACAAGTGAAATTTGTCGGTTAAAGTGATATTAAAGAATCATCTGTACGTAAAGTAAAATGAATTGCTAGGAATAAACGATTAATATAAACGTTACGAATTAATAATTTAATCTAAATAAATAATCTTGTCATTATGTCTTTATATACAAGAAGATATATTTTACGTAGATTATATGAAGTTTTTATGTTATATTTCTTATCAGCGGAGATACGCGATATAGGAACATGAAGCAGGGAGGGAGGGAAGGGGAGAGAGAGAAAGAGAGAAGGGGGGGAGGAAGAAGAGCACAGAGGATGAGTATATTTCCGAAAGTATGTACTTCTTTCGAGCGTGGGAAGATACGTCAACTATGAATATCGACGAGAAGCAGATACGAATCGCAGAAACGGAAATCAGTTGGGAGCACCAAGTTACGATTGAGATTTAAGTTATTGACAAGCTACTTTGGCGAACCTCCACTGAGATCTGGCTGGTTTATCCCGGAGGCCCACTGCCTTTTGATTTCCCCCAGGACTCAACCCTTGAGATTCCATTCTTCTGCCCACAATGAGGCCTGCCTTCATGCCACTTCATCTCCATTGCGAACGTCTCGCTCTCATTTCCGACAACGCGTCGCACACGCGGACCAATCGATTTCTGATTTTCACAAATCGCCAGACTAATTTTCCAGGGGAGATGCATTAAATTTCGGAGATCTTAGAAATATGTGTGTCGATTAACGGTAACAGTTAGTAAGTTACGCGCATTAAGCAAGTAAGATTTTTAAACATGTCAAAGATGGCTTTGAAATCTCTACTTGCTTAATTCTGAAATCTGTTAAAAAACAATAGAAATCATCGATTTTGTCAACTTATCAATCATCTTATCAATTTATCAATTTGTCAGTAATCAATTAGCCTTGTGTCTCCCTTATCACGTAAATTCAAACTATTTCATTTCATAAGTTTTCCATGCGATTGTCAGAGATGTCCTATCAGTGGTTCAAACGAGCGCGTCACTTGATATGTTGAGAGTTGGGACGAATTGATTTAATGAATGTTGCCGTGCCCATAAGTACAGGTACCCAGAAGAGGATATCAAGATATTTTTAAGATAA